AGAACTACTGAGTACTCTCCAAAAATTTTCAATGACCTTTTCCAAGTAGTGTATCTCAAAAACCGTTCACAGAATGACAATTAACATGTGACAAAACTATTGTATCTAAAAATTAATTTTTCAAAAATTTAAAATTTTTTTTTATTTTTCAAAAATTTTTTTTATGTATCAGGAACTCTAGGTATTCACGAAATGAAGCTATTGAGCCGCTCAGAACTATTGGATCTCGATTTTCGAAGAGAAGTTAGCACCCCATTTTTTAAAAATTGTTTAAAAATTGTTATTAAGGGAATCTCGAGTTAAAAAGCACAGAGAACTCTTCGTATCGTTGAGAGGAAGCATGAACTCTATTCAGAACTATTGTATCTAAAAATTGATTTTTCAAAAATTTTTAATTTTTTTTATTTTTCAAAAATTTTTTTTATGTATCAAGAACTCTAGGTATTCACGAAATGAGGCTATTGGGCCGCTCAGAACTATTGGATCTCGATTTTCGATGAGAAGTTAGCACCCCATTTTTTAAAAATTGTTTAAAAATACTTATTAAGCGGAACTCTTGTTATAAATTATATAGAACTCTTTGTCTCGTCAAAAAGAAACGGGAACTCTATTCGGAACTCCTGAGTACTATAGTTGGGGTGCTAACTTCACATACTCGACGAAAATTGACACCAACATGCGACTGCGTATCATAGTTGCGGGAGATATGGGTGTGGTAATATATAATAATATATCGATGTGCTGTAAAACAGCGATCTCTGGTGACCTTGTCGGAGTTCGGGCTTCACTTTAGGCTGTCCTTAAGAGGATGTTGGAGTGACGGTCGAACTTAATCAAGGTCGATAGTACACACTTTTTTAATTCCAAATTCGATAATAGTGACATCTTTCATTAATTTTTTATAGTTATTAATGTTATCATATAATCGTTGTGTCTCGCTCAAACGCATTCATCTGTCCCTATCTAACATATTGCAACGCCATCTCTTAGAAAGAGATCAACTAAAATACTGCTCGGTTTCGTGGCTTCACGTCAATTTCGTAATATACAAACGAAATTTTCGGCAACTCTTTTCTCTTATACTATAGTCTCTATCTCGTTTCTAAAAGCATAGAATTGTTCTTCGAGGTTTTCTGTAGGCTGCTGGCTACTTATTTTAAACGGGTAAAATCTGAAACTCTTATATGCAGCATATATTGTGACGAGTTGACTACAGAAGCCGGTGAAAAAATTACAATTTTTAATTTTCGACAGCGTCGACTCCTATTGCCTGTAATATATAATTTATGGTTTTATTAATTATTTTAATTAAAGGAGTTTGTAAAAACATATTAGTTTTTATATTAATTTGTAATTCATCATTATTTTTAATTTTCTTTCATTTTTCGTATTAAATTGTAGCTGGCAGCCTGTGTTGTCGATACTTTAATTGTGGAAAAAGATTTTTCAATTCATAAACACAATTAAGAGAAAAGAGTCTTTAAAAATTAATGGTAAAACAGGACACTCCAGCATCCCCTTAAGGGGATCTTAAAGTTGTCTATATTACCGACTAAACCTTATAATTTTTGTATAATAATTACTTTTTTGCTCTCTTATTGATTTGAAAATCTTTGCCCATGGTTAAAGTATTGGGATCTGACATTGTTGGTGGCGCCGTCTATTGCCGGAAAGTAGAAATACTCAATGCTTGCATTTAGCATATTTATATTATAAACTTGTACTGTAAAATAACAAAAACAATATTATGGAGGCTGCAATTTTTTTCGCGCATGATAAAAAGAAAAATTTTGATTATTCTGCAGTGAAAGATTGTAAGAGTACAGCAAGTGAAAATTTAGAGCTTCGTTTCCACAGATTTCCAAAGCTGAATGAAAAAAAAGCGTCGTTGACATAAATTCATTCGGCAAATTGGAGCAAAGTGGATTAAGTAAAAGCGTGGAAAATTGCTACAAAAATAAATAAAATTTTGTCTAATACAAAAGTATGCTCACTACATTTTAAGAAATCTGATTATATATTGCCAGGTAAGTTAATATTAGGTGTATAACTTTGTTTCCGCCGTTTTCCTATAGATGGCTTTAGCGGTAAGTGGTGGTCGAAATAAATAGATCATAGACGTCATACAATAAACTTGAGCATCTGTCAACATAACCCCATAGAAACATTAGTCGATTTGTGTCTGCATCATAAAGTTATTCTCGATTGAAAATGTCAGTTTACGAGCCAAATTCTCGTCATTTGCGGAAGGTTTTAATTTTCTGCTTTAATATGAAGAAATCTGCGGCTGAAGCTCATCGAATGCTCTCAAATACTTATGGTGAGGCCGCTATTAGTGAAAGAACGTGTCGTGAGTGGTTTCAACGCTTCAAGAACGGTGATTTTGATGTCGAAGACCAGCATAGCGGTGGAAGAGAAGGTTTTCGAAGATGCAGAATTGGAGGCATTACTTGATCAAGACTCGTGTCAAAATCAAGAAGAATTGGCACGATCATTGGGAGTGACTCGACAAGCCATTTCAAAACGCCTCAAAGCCATGGGAATGATTCAGAAGCAAGAAAATTGAGTGCTGTATGAGTTGAAGCCGAGAGATGTTGAACGGCGTTTGTTTGTTTGTGAACAGCTGCTTGAAAGGCAAAGACGGAAAAGATGTCTGCATCGCATTGTGACTGGGGACGAAATGGGTTCATTACGATAACCCCAAGCACAGAAAATCATGGGGAGTTCCCGGCTATGCTTTCACGTCGACGGCTATGCTTCCAAACCGAATATTCACGGCTCCAAGGTCATGCTCTGTATTTTGTGAGACCAACTCGGCGTAGTGTATTATGAGCTGTTAAAATCGACAGAAACAATCACAGGCGATCGATATCGAACGCAATTGATGCGTTTGAGCCGAGCATTGAAAGACAAACGGCCGCAATACAACGAGAGACACGATAAAGTGATTTTGCAGCATGACAATGCTCGACCCCATGTTGCGAAAGTGGTCAAGACATACTTGGAAACGTTGAAATGGGAAGTCCTACCCCACCCGCCGTATTCTCCAGACGTTGCTCCCTCTGACTATCACTTGTTTCGATCAATGGCACACGGCCTGGCTAACCAACACTTCCGGTCTTATGAAGAAGTAAAAAATTGGATCGATTCGTGGATTACCTCAAAAGATGATCAGTTTTTTCGACGCGGGATTCGTACGTTGCCCGAAAGATGAGAGAAAGTAGTGGCCAGACGATGGACAATACTTTGAACCATAAATGTATAACCAGTTTTTTACAATAAAGCCTCGAATTTCGGAAAAAAACGGCGGAAGCAAAGTTGTACACCTAATAGTAGCTTATGTCAAAAGTGGTAAAGAAAGAAACATGAAAATGACTTTAAAAGAGAGAGTGATAATGACATTTATTTAATTAAAGCAAAATTTATCTTATAGTTTTCTAGCATTAACGTTTAAGTGTTACTCAGCGAAACATTGCCAACGCATATTTTATGACACAGTAAAGATGTTAAGCATTTGTTTGAAAGCAGCGATACCGTAGTCATCAAGGGAGGAGATACGCAGAAACATTCCTGAGTGTTTTGAATCTTTTGAGGATGTTCGAGTAGTTTTAGACTGTACAGAAGTGTTCATTCAAAGACCTGTAGAACTTTGTTGCCAGGTCTTAACCTATTCTCAGTATAAAAGTGCACAAACATGTAAAATAATGACCGGTGTTGCAGCAGCAGGTAATATAACATTTGTCAGCAAACCTTATGGAGAACGAGCAATGGATTCAACAATATTTCAGCAAAGTGATCTGATTCACTTGCTAGAACCTGGCGATGCAATAATGGTTGATCGAGGATTTTTAATTGATAAAATGTGTGAAGTGAATCGCTGAAAATGTGTAAGACCTCCGTTTTTAAAGGATAAAAAATAATTTAATAAAGAAGAATCTATTTTAACAGTTAAAATAGCTAAAGATCGAGTCCACATTGAAAGATCCAACCAGCGTATCAAGACTTTTAAAATTCTTGGATCAGTAATGCCTGTGGCATTGGTGCCTATTATAGAAGATATTCTTATAGTTATTTGTGCGACAATTAATATGTCTTCACCAATTCTAAGTGATTCAAAATTTATGAAAATATAAAATTATGTACATTTAGGATTATAATAAAAAGAATCGTTTTGTAATTTAAAAAATAAAACTTTATTTTGATATAAACTTTCTTTACATTTTATAAAAATAAAAACGTTTCTTTAGAATAATATTTTAGAACTTTCTATTATTTTCTTATGCTCCTAAGCGATTGATTACCTTCTTTATTGCATTCTTTTTTCATGTAACAAACTTTATTTAACATTAAAAAAATAAAATTTTTTCTTTTTACTTTTAAAAACATTTTTTATCAAAACTAGATATAACTAACTAGGGTAAATATTTTAGTACTTTTAATTATTTTTTAATACCTATTGACTATCTTTATCACATTCTTTTTTCGAGAAACAAACTTTATGTAACATTACACTATAATAAACTTTTTTTAATTCATTTAATATTAAAAAAATAAAATCATCGTTTCTTTCAACTCTTAAAGTACAATATTGTTTATCAAAACTAGAATAAATGACGAAATATGTGAATTTTAAATTTAACACTGCCATGCCTAATTGTACTTGTCCATAGTATCGATGCTTTTCTTTTAAAACAATATTTTCTTTCTTTCTCTGCAAGCATTTATTTATTTAACTATTCACAGTATTTTCGATATTTGCAGTTTTTCCAACAAATAGGCACTTTATTTCTAATAAAGCAACTGGTTTGTTATTTTTAATTATAATTCCAACCAGTGAATAAGCCAACCATGGATTGAGTCTCGAGATAACCAGTTCAATTTCAACTACTTCAGCATTTGTACCTTTTGCAAAGGCTCTGCGTGCTTTTGCTTCAGTCTTTTTTCGCGTATTCGGTAAACTCTTAAAATTTTTTGGCTTTAAAATATTATCACACTTCTTGTTCCAGTCTGCATTTTTATTATTCCTGTTCGTAAATAATTCATAACAAGTAGAACCTGTTATCCTATATCTTCTTTCTTGTATCCAGTAAGCGTACGAGTCTTCAGTTTTTACACAAATCTCTTCAACATTTTCACTGAGTTCATTAATCATATTAATACAACATTCTTGTACTGCACATACTGGTAATTTTTTTATTGCAGTCATCAGTACACCGTCTTAAAATTAAAAAATAATTTGAATAATTTCTTTTTCAATAGTATATAGTTTTACTTTTGTTCTTTGTGCTCACTAGCGTGTGTCGTTCTGACCTTTAAACACACAAATTATAACGTTTATAAATTAAAATCATGTTTATAGTTAGAAAGACATTTTAAGTTTAATTTAAAAAATTTGTTACTCACATGTGTTTAGTTAAAACAGAATCAGGTAGATCTTTGTATATAATATTTTTAATTCCAGTTTCTTGTACCAGAGAAAGTGCAAGGACTTCTTTTCTCCTCTCAGTTTTTGTATGACAGGCATCATGTTTTTTTAATGATTCTTTTATTTCTTCTTTAGTCTCTTCTCTCTCTTTACCTTTTTCTCCTATTAATTTTAGAGCACTCTTAACAATTTGAATATTTTTGGAGGTTGTGAAGGAGAGAAACATTCATGTTGCGAAAGAGGAGCAGGATTATAATTTTACAAAATCTTGTGCTTTTTTTCCGAATTCACATTCCTTATCAGTACATGATAAGACTTCTATTTTATTACTATTCCTGAAAAAATACAGAAAAATCTTTTCTGGGACTAGCTAGAATAATAATAACAATTACTTTATTTTAAATTAGGTTAGGTGCACTTACTGATAGCAGTACAGCAATGATGTGCTTACATTTTTCTCTTAATCCTGCTTTGCAGGAACAGGTACATGATAATATATCTTTAGAACTTACATCTCCTTTAACTTCATGCGGAGTAAGTCTTATATTTGATGTTTGTAAACACAGTGCTATAAATGAGACCTTCCCATCTGATTCCACATTTTTACCATATCTAATTATGTGTTCAACCTTCAAAACTCTCTCTCCTTCTACAAACTTCCTTTCTGCAGGATTTGTATCTGCCCACTCACAAATTTGATTAATAGTTAACACTATAATTAAAAACAAGTTATTTCCCTATAAGTACAATGTAAATGGCAAGCACTCCTCTCTCTCTCTCTCTCT